AAGAACAATAATAAGATCAATGCAACAATAGAACAATTGCTAGAAAATAGATCAATGAGAGAATGAAGAGCTAAAGAAAGAGAGTTAGTTGGGTTAAAACAAATAGAAGGACTAGAGATAGAACTAATTAGAAGACAAAAATTCAAAAGGGTGATTACAAATTACTTAATAGAAGTTCTTATAAGGAACATAACGAGAAACAAAAACAAATATATCTTCTATACAGATGGTGCATTATTTAAAAAAAGAAATAGAAATAGTTTAGAGAGGATGGGTATAGGCTAGGTACAAGTTGGAAATAAAAGAGATTGGCCAGAAGAAGAGACAGCACTAAGACTTGAAGATTGGCCTTCAGCAACAACAGCTAAACTAGCAGCAATATGGTTAGCAGCTTTAATAATATCAGAAAAGAAGGCTATAGAAGTGTATACAGACAGCCTAGTGGTATTAAGAAACATTAATAGAGCAATCCAAGACATAGGGGATGTTAGAGTGCTAAAAAAGAAAAATGCGATATGGTTAACAAACATTGTAGATCTAGTCAAAAGCAAAAACATCAAAATAGAGCTAATTAAGGTCAAAAGCCACAATAATGACAAATGGAATGACAGAGCGGATGTACTTGCAAAGAAAGGAGCAGCATATAATAAGACAATATCTGTAGAGAAAGTCAGTTGCGAGAGAGTAGAGTACCATTTGGAATGGGAAAACAAAAAGGTTGATATATCAGCAAGACTTCTTTGCAAAATTGTGGCAAATGCCAGAATTGGAGCCAGTTGGAGAGAAACAAACCCAATCCGAACACTAGAATCAGAAACAGAGAATACTCAATATAACTGGTCAAGCTTTTGGAAAGAAATGAATAGAACAAAAGGCATATACTGTACAACAAGAAAACTCAGTACTAGAAGGGCAATAGCAATCAAATGCATAATAGACAGTCTACCAATACTAGAAGAGTTAAATAGAAGAAGACCAGAGATTTATACAGTAACAGACTGCCAAGTTTGTCAAAAGGTGAAAAGGAAACTCAAGCATACTTAGCAAGCTGCATTGAACAAAAAAGTCTGTGAAAGAGGATTCAAAAAGTAGCAACAGCAACAGTGTGAAACAACCTTAAAGAAAGTGAAAAAAGTAGAATTCTACCTCTAGTTCTATATGAAACTTTATTCGAAAAAACAGAAGCAGAAAAAGTTAGAAACAGAAGGTCAATGATAAAAGGGTTAGTCACAACAGAGGTTGGGAAAAGGCTTGAACAAATCCTAAATAGACAGATGACACAAAAATGCATAGATATAGTAACGAGAACAGTATGGAATATATTCTATGACCAAATATGAAGAGTTCGATGTGAAAAAGTACAGGAATGGGAAAAAAAAAATGCAATATAATGAGCAAAATGAAGAAAGGTGCTCGAATAAGAAAAAAACAAAAGAAAGAGAAAAGAAAAGCAAGCTGGCAAAGGAAGAAGAAAAGGAAAAGAAAGCAGAAAAACTAAATCAAGTGAAGAAAGAAGCTTGGAAGACAATTGATACACTTGTCACAGAAGGGGAAAAACCTTTCTGGTATGGCTTTAAGTAGTTAGACGAGCAGTCTATCTCTAACTAAGATAGTGCGACAGATTGCACTTAGGTACCAAATAGGTGGCTGAGTGATGCTGGACTTGGATATTAGAAAATTTTATATAATTATAAAAATATATAGTTTCAAGAATCTTAATAAAGTATTAGCGTAACTGCTTAAGGTTAAAAAAAAAAAAAAATAAAAAAATTCAAATTTATGCAATAAAATTGCATATCCTTTATTATTGTTTAGCAATACTAAATTTATGCCAAAACATTATTGGAATAATAATTTTTTAAAATAGTATCTTAAAAATCATGATCTTTATAATACTTAAAATACACTTAATAATAAATTTAAAACACAATTAGAAAATCTATAGATCACTCTTGCAGACAAAGCTTTAAAAGAGGTTTTTAATAATATATCAGTATTTACTGATTTTTGTGAAGTTATGAGTAATGTAATTAAATAAAAAATAAAAAACAAATCTAAATGTAATTTGAAATATAGCAAAGAATTTACTAGTTTTTTGATTATATTAGAAGAAATTAGTCTAAGAGCTTTAGATCTTTTTCACCAAAATCTAGAAGGTCAAACAATTTAGTCAATTAGGTAATAAAAAATTATGAATACAATTTATTTTACTTTTAAATTTATTAACTTATATTTTATAAAAAATTAAAAAAAATAATAACAATTATTTAACTAATTCTGAATTATACTATAAAAATATAGTTAGATTTAAAAGACTTATTGATATAATTAATTATAATGAACTAGTTGCTGCAATGACAGATAATATAAAACTTAAATTAAGATTACAATATTATTCTAATCTTGAATATATTGTTGGATCAGTATTATCAAATGAGAAAATAAAGGTTAATATATATAATAATATTCCAAGAATAACCAATAAGATCAAAGCAGAAAATAGAATTGCAAAAAATATTTGTATATATATATATATATTTTTTTTTTTAACTTAAGCAGTCATGCTAGTACTTTATTAAGATTTTTGAAATTACTTTTGCAATTACATAGATTTTCCTAACAACTAAGTTTAGCATCATCTGGTGACCCATAGGGTATCTAAGTGCAACCTGTCACACACTTCTAACAAAAGTAGACTACTTGTCTGACTACTTAAAGTCTGTAGTAAAAGGGCCTTCTCCCTTTTATGACAAGTTCCAACATTGTCTTTCTAGTTTCTTTATTAATTCTATCTTTTTTCTCTTTTGCTTGTTTCTTTTCTTTTTCAATCTTTTGCTGATTTACCTTTTTTTTCTTTTTTGGATTCTTCTTTCTAACTTCCTTTTTTTTCATTTAGTTGTTATACCTTTTTTTTTCTCTCATTCATTGATCTTTTTGCACTATATCCTTCAGACTTGTTCATAGAATATGTCACATGCTGTCTTTGCCACTATTTCTACAAACTTCTGTTTTGCCTTTGTATTTAGGAGCTGTGTTAAACTGTCTTGTGTTTTTTTTGGGATCAGGCCTTTAATTAATGCTTCTCTCATCACTATCTCTTCTGCTTCATTTTCTTCAAAAAGTGCTGTATATAGTACATGTGGTGGGATGCGAGTTTTTTCTTCTTCTTTCAACTCTTTCCAGACTGTTGCAATAGTTACTTTTTGGATTCGTTTCTATAAGCTCTGCTGTTCTTTGCATGATGCTAGATGTAATTATGTTTCTTTAACTTTATCTTGACATACTTGACACTCTGTTGTTGTGTATACATCTGGTCTTCTTCTATTAAGTTCTTCTAGGGTTAAAAGTTTATCTATCATATACTTTATAAATATACATCTTCTTGTACTACTTCTTCTTGTTATGCAATGCACTCCTTTAGTCATTTTTAGCCTTTTCCAGAATTATGTCCAGTTATAGATTATAATTTCTGTTTTCGGTTTTAACTTTTTGATTGCATTTGTTTTTTTTTATTCTGCTCCTAATCTTGCATTTATTATTAATTTGCATAACAATCTTGCAGGTATGTCAGTTCATTTGTTTTTCTACTCTAGACAGTACTCTATCTCTTCACAACTGACTTTCTTTATTTGTATTACTTTCTCACTTATTGTTTTCTTCTTTGCAAGGCTATCAGCTTTGTTATTCCATTTGTCTTTGCTATGGCTTTTAACTTTCACTAACTCTATTTGTATATTCTTTGTATTAATAAGATCTATAATCTTTATTATCCATATCATGTTTTTCTTCTTAAGAATTTTCATCCTATCTATTTGCTCTAAACCTTTGCTAATGTTTTTAATCACAGCATTACTGTTTGTATATATTTCTACTTGTTTTTCTCTTGGTATTATTAAAATTACTGTCTATATTACTACTAATTCTGTTATTGTTGATGTCATCCATCCTTCTAAACCTAATGATGTTTCTTCTTCTGGCTACTTTTGTGTTTCATTTATTTGGACCCATCCTATTCCCATACTGCTGCCTCATGCTCCTTCTTTGGTCTTTGTATTTGTAGCACCATCTGTATATATAATATATTTGTCTTTGTTTCTTGATAGGTTTCCTCTTAGCATCTTCAAAATTTCTTGTTTGACACTCTTATTTAATTTCTGTCTCTTAATTATTTCTATTTCTAACTCTTCAATTATCATTAGACCTTCAAGCTTCTGTTTACTGTCTCTTAAACTTTCTGTTTCAGCTTTTTCTATCAACTGATCTAGAGCTAACTTGATCTTGCTATTCTTCTTTTCTATTAATGTGTTAGAGATTACTATAATCTTGTTGCTTATTCTTATCTATTGCCAGCAACTGTCTTCTTTTTGTCCTTCTTCTTCTGTACATCTATTACATCTGCTAATTTCTGTTACTATTTCATTTTTCTTGCTTTGCATTTGACAATGCTCTACTAGAACCTTTTTTTTTCTTCTTTATTATCTTTTCTAATTATTTATCTTCTTGTATACTATATATTATCTACTCTTTTCTTCTTTTGTCTTTTGATATAGTCCTTCATACCATTTTCATTGCTTGGGTATTGTGTCTGTTTGTCTTAAAATGTTCTTTAATTCTTTTATTTATTGGCTCTTCAAGCACTTTGAACTCTATTTCTTTAAACTATTCTGCTTTTTTTCCTTTACTTAACCATTCACAAAAGTTTTTAAATTGTTGTTATGTAATCAGCTTCTCATCTTTTATATCGATCAGTTGGTTTAGATAGATTAAACCTGCTTCATTTATCTTTATTCCACTTTTTTTTCACAGCTGTGATTCTAACAGTTCTTGTATTTTCATATTATATCCAAATATTTTCTATAAGTTACTTTCTGTTCTTATGCTTATTTCTAACTCTTTTGCTTTTATTACTGTTAGATACACTAAGTTGTTCTTTTACTATACTTTGTTATCTGGTATCTCTTTCAATTTCCAAACATCTTTTGTCAAATCTGCTCTTTGACAGCCTTGTGTTATTCTTAGCTTTGTTAACTGTCCTAGGCTGTTTTGTCTATTCAATCTTGACAGTAAGCCACTCACTTGCTTTATTACTAGCTCTTGTTAAAATGTTCTATATCCACTTAGATTCTTATATTCTATTATGCAATTTTCTGCTGTTTTTTGCAAATTGCTTTTCCATTTTGCTAGACATATTATTGATTGATGTATTTCATGTGTTCCCTTTTCTGAGATTTTAGTCAGTTGAAGCATGTAGCTTAGTTTTGGAATTATTATCATGTTGTTTATATATGTGATCTGGCTTGCTGTTATCTTTTTGTATTTGAGATCTTTTATTATTTGACTGACTATTCCTTTAGCTTTTCTTTTAACTAACACTTCTCACATTTAGTTATTCAGCCAAATTCCAAGTGAACAAACAATTTTGTTTCTTGACTCTTCTTTTACATTGCTTTTGCTAAAAGCTATTTCTCTTTCTTCTTTTTTAACTTTTGTGTTCATCACTAGCAGCTTTGATTTCAATTTGTTAATCTCTATGTCATTCATCTTGAAGAACTTTTCAGCTATTTCTAGGATCTTTAATAACTGGTTTTTGCTGTTTGCAATCCATGTTATATCATTTGTATATGCAATTGCTACTTGGCAAAATCTTGTAACATTATTGCATTATGTCTCTTCTTTAATTTGTTGCTCAACTATATATTCTAGACTTTTATTTTCTTGTACTTTCTCTAGCAATGGATCATAGAAGAGGTGCCATATTAATGGTGATATTACTTCACCTTGATCTATTCTGTCTCCTGCTATTACTTCTTCTGTTAAGTTATAAGCTGTAATTATCCTTAGTTGTCTTTTGTGAAAAAGATTTAAGATGTATTTTATTGTTCTTTTAGAGATTTTAACTCTTTGCAATACCATTTCAAGGCTTTTGAGAAGAACTGAATTGAATGCTTTCTTCATATCTTGTAGCAGTATTCATACTTCTTTATTCTTTTCTTTTGCCTCTTCTATTATTATATTAAGAATATGCACTGAACACTCTGTTGAATTTCCTAGTAGACCTGTATAGTTTGGTCCCTTAAGCACTTCTCTTTCTATAAACACCTTGGCAAGCCTTTTTGTTATTACTTTTGTTATCACTTTTCTAAATGTTTCGATCAAAAGCTATTGGATAAATATTGTTTAAGCTGTATCCTTATTCTTCATCTTTTGGTATTAGATAAACTTGTGCAATTTTTCACTTGATTGGTATTTCTCCTCTCTCCAAACAGAGATCTGCAAAGGCTCTAAAGATTTCTTGTGTTTTCTTTCCTGTTTATTTAATCAGTATATAGCTTATACCAGTATGTCTGAAGCTGTTTCTATTTTAAGTTTTCTCAGTACTTCTTCCCATTCCTTTTCTTTGATGCTATCTTCTAATTCTATATACCATTCTTCTTTAATGTATTCATATGACTTGTAAACTTCTTTCTACCTTTCTGACATTTCTTTTAGTTTTGCATCTCTTGCTCTAAATTGTTTTTTGTAATGTTTTGCTACACCAATCTTAACTAACTCTGGATCTACTGTTAAGTTTGTCAATTCATCTTCTTGTTCGATAAATCTGTCAAGAGTTATCTTTTATAGGCTTGTTTAACAGACTGGCTATCATTTTCCCTTGATCTGTTTTAATTATTTCATATCTCTTGTCTATATTTTCTTCTATTTGTCTTTTTTGGTCTTGTTCCTATATTTTTCTCTTTTTTTCTTGTATCAGTTTCTGCCAACTTCTTATGTCTTCTATCCAGACACTTGACTATTGCTTATATAGTTTGAATAGCCTTGCACCTTCTTTTCTCCTATTATTTGTAGTTTCTCATTTATCTTTGTTTTTTTCTCTTTTGTTACTTTCTGACTTCTTTTGTTTTTGCTTGTTTAATTAATTTTTACAGCTCTATAATATTCTTTTTTTGGTATCACTTCTTTGGGTCATTTTTTCTATTTGCCAGTGTATTGTATATCTTCTTCTTCAGCAGATGCTTACTAGTTGCTGTAATGATTGCTTCTTCTAATATGTCCTATATGCTGTTTATATTATTTGTTTCTTTCCTTTGAATATTCTTTAGCACCTCCTTCACTTCTAATCATTTTTGCAACTCTTGTGTATACTTTTCTCAGTTCTCTTTCTTTGCTTGGTCATATAAATATACTGTTTTTGATTGTCTTTTTCTTTTGATTTTAGCTTTGCTATTTCTTGATATCATGTGTTTAATCCATATTTTTGTTTTTACTATTTTATAATCACTTTTAGTAATTCCTTTTACATTTTCAATTTTTGCTTTTTGTAAACCTGAGGCCAGTTCCTCTAATATTCATATGTAGTCAATTCTTATTGCTGCTTCTCCATTTGACTATGTAAATTCTTGACTTGTTGGATGCATGTCTCTGTAACTGTCACTAAAGTTCTGCTTTTTTATTCAATTAAAGATTGGCAATCTTTTAAAGTTTGCTGCTTGTAGGTATTGTTTGTCCAATACATTATTCGCTGTATGATTGAAATTACTTAAAATAATTATTTGTATTTGTTTTCTCTTCTTAGTGACTATTTCTATGATTTGTTGTTGAATGTTTTTCCTTATTGTCTTGCCACTTAGTGGTATATAAACTTCTAAAACAACTAACTTCAATTGCTTGAAGTATAGTATAAGTTCTATCATATATTCATTTATCCTTTTGACTGCACCCACATGTTTTTCCTATTGTTCATTAATTATAATTCCTATATCTGATCCCTTCTTTTTGTCTTTTGCTGCACTTGACCAAAATTCTATATATTTCCTATTTGTTGTCTGCATTAGGAATCTTCTCTCTCTTTTTGTAAGATTTGTTTCTATGATACCTAGTATTGTGACTTCTTCTTCTTCTGCTCAGCCCAGCAGACTATCGAGTTTCTATTCTTTGGTTTTAAGTTCATTAACATTATGACATGCTATTTTGATCTCCTTTCTTCCTTTTTTCTATTTTTTTTTTAGTTGTTCTTGTTTTGTCTTTGCTGTTTTTTCTCTTTCTTTTCCCTTTTTGTTCTTATTTCTTTCTTCTTTTGGATGAGGATGTGTTTTCTCTCTTCTGTTTTCAAAACTTCTTCTTTCATCTTATAAGAACTCTCCTATCTCCTCATCTATATTTATTAGTTTAACTAAAGTGCCTTTAGGAGTGATTGGCTATGCCTTCCCCTATCGAGTTACCTACTTTTTTTAGTTTTTTTAGTCTTTCTAAAATTCAGCCTAGCATATCTTCTATATGTGTGTTTTTTTCTTGCTGTTGTATCTTATCTTTATTTTCTCTCTTCTCTCAGCTTTCTTCTTTTTCATTATCTATACTTCTATATCTACTTTGGTTTTAATATTCTGTCTTAGGCTGCTATTCTCTTCTTTTATTATTTGAACTTTTGGTTTTAGGTCTTCTCAATCTTTCTTTCTGTTTGTATATATTCTGTTCCAATGACTTCTTTCTTTATTTTTGTTTTCTTCTGCATCATAGTTTTGGCTTAATCTATCCCAACTTCTTTCTCTTCTATTCTTGAAACTTTATCTACCTCTTGGCTCTCTTTTTCTTTCATTAATTCAGTATATTCGAAAATTGTTGTACATAATTGGTTTTAACTATGCTGCCCTCATATCTTCCTCAGTTGCAAAAATAATCAGTGTTGTTTGCTTCTGGTTCCTATTTCAGTTTTGTGGAATATATACTGACTTCACTCCTTTATTTCTCAAGCATCACAATAATAAGACTTCTGAAGCATTTCCAGGTAGCTCTGTTAGTTTGGCTATATGTTTTCTTTGTTTTTTCCTTGCTTGTGGTCTTCTCTTTCTCTTGTTACTCTTATCAGCTTATTATTGTCAGTTCGTAATAACCATGGAATATCTTCTTCCTCTATGCTTTGCATTTGTATTACTGTTAAGGCTTTGTGCTTAAACCTTTTGATGCATATAATCTGTACATCTTTAATTCTTCTGCAAATATACTTTACTTCTCTTTTGTTTATGTTAGCTGGTAGGTCCTATATTGTTAAATAAGTCACATTGCTACTAAGTTCTTCTTCTTCTTTGTATTTGTTATTGCATGGTTCTTCTCTGTTAATGCCTTCTTTAACCTTCTTTTTTTTAAAACTTAATGTATGTTTTTTTTTATCTTGTTATTCTTTCTTGTAGTCTGGGTTCTTCTTTTTTACTCTTTTTTTTTTCTTTATCTTCTGGTATCATCTTGTACTAATCATTCTCTTTTCTGTTAATTCTTTGTATAGCTTCACCTCTGCTATAATTACAGTCAAAGACCACTTCTATCTACAGATTTCCTCTCTTGAATACTTCATCAATGTCTTTTACATGTGTATTATCCTTTAGAGATCATCTAATAAACTTTATACATTCTTCTTTTGTTTTTCCAGAGACCTCATATGCTGGTATGTTGGTGATTAGACTGTTATTTTGATTACAATTTCTTCTGCTTGATGCCTATATACTTTGTTCTAATGTTATTTCTACAATATCGATTTCTTCTTCTGTTTCTTGCTTCCTTCTTTTCTGTCTTTCTCTTTTCTCTTCTAGTGTGTTTTGTCTTAATTGCTTACTATCCATTTCAATATCCTCTTGTTTACTTATATTTCTTTTTTTCTTAGTTTCTTGTTTCTAAATATTGGATTCATCTGTCAGTTTGTTATTTCTTTTTATACTTATCTCTCTTCATTCTTCTCTTTGTGATTTATACGTTTCTTCTTGTTTCTCTATATTTTTATTTTCTTTTTCTATATTTCTTTTTATTTCTTGCTTTCTTTTAATACTCTCTTCTTCATTTCCTTTTGTTATCACTTGCTGTTCTTTGTTTTAGTTATACTATATTTTTTCTCTTACTGCTTCTGTTGTTAGGTCTTGGTTTTCTATATTTATATTTAGTTTTTTCTCTGGCTGTTCTTTCTTAGCTTTCTTAAAAATTTCTTTTGTTAGTTGTAAAAGTACCATCTCATTTGGGTCTTGATTTGTAAACAATGCAACAATTTTGTCTTCTCTATCTGGTACTGTGTATGTTTTGCTCACCTCATTGAAAAAAATTTTGTTATGCACACTATTCATGGCTCAGTATGCTCTTTTTATAAAGAATGCTTGTAGACTTTTTCTATACTCTACAGAAAGATTTTTGTTCATATTTACAACTTTATTCTTCTAGAATGTTCTATCACATGTTTGTTGTATTTGTTTGTTTGTTTCACAAGTGGCTCGTTTATCTTATTTTATTCTAAAATCTTGCATGTGTTTGTTTTGTCCAGACTGTACATGTTGTTTGTATAATCCAAACAGATCTACATATAGGGTTACTAGCAATCCTTCAAAATTTTCTTTTTTACTAAAATTTCTACAAAAAACTTTGGTTTTCTTTTATAGCTATCTTATTAATACTTGCAATGCTTTTTGCTTCTAAGCTTATTTGTTGCTTCTTTTGTTGCTGTTACTTTTCCATAGTGTTGTTAAGAGTATTATCTATTGCTGTTAGTACAGAAAGCTAATTTCTTTTTCCACTGATTTTGCATCCAAGTGATCATCAGAGAGAGTTGTTATTTATACTATTGTATATATCTTTTACAGATATAATTTAAATTAATATATATATAAATATATAATAATATATAAATTACTAAAATTGTATATTTTTATGAAAGATACCATTATCTGCATTTCTTTCAATATTATTATTCTAATTTCAAATAATAGATCAGACATTGCAGATTCAATTTTATAAGAAATTAATTATTGATATTGCACTATAACTTGGTCTTTATATACTTTTTTTGGAATCTGATAGATCTATAGTAGAATTTCAAGCATAGCAATCGATTTCTAAAACTCAAATAAATGAAAAGCTAGTAGTTAAAGAATCATTTGAATATTAATTTTTCATGTTCTATTTTTAATCATATTAGTCTTGTAATACATGTTCAAGATTCCAAACATGCTAAGAAAACAGCATGAAATGCTATAATGTCTAAAGCATGTTTATTAACTTTTGGCAATTCTTTTGCTTAATATAATCACTTTTTACAGCTTATTAACTAGCATATTTCTATAATGTTTAAAAATAATATTATTAAACTAGACTGACAAGATAATGTGGAAGCTTATTGAAACTTTTGTTCATCAAATTTTTGTTAATACTTAACAACCAATTATTAAGACAAATCTGGAATAGAAGAGTTTGCAATTTATCTTTTTGTATTAGATAAATTTTAACTTAAATACCTTCAAGTAAAAACCAGGAACCATAAAAAAAGATTATTATAAATTTTAATAATCTATTTTAAGAATTTCTGGTTTTTATTTGGTAATACTCATATTTGTTAATAATTTTTTAATTTAAATTATATTAATTATAATATTTATTTTAAAGATAAAATTATTAATAATTATTTAAAACATGATATCATACTATATGAACATATTAGAATGGTTATAACTAGTTACTTTTCTATTCAATTTTGGCATACTTATATAGAAATCCTTTCTCAAAAATATTCAAATTTTATTTTAATGCAACAAAATTTTTTAGCAAATCAAACATTTGCTATTTTTATTTTGCTTTGCAAATTATTTGTTTTATTAGTTAAAGCTTATTATGAATATTATCTACAAATTCTATTATTACTTTAGTTTCATAGATCAGAGTCAGTTGAATATTTTTTAAGATTGCATGTCAATTAAATTCTGATTTTGACTTTTTTGATTTAATTCAAATAATTTCTAAAATATTATAATATTGTAAAGTTTTAAGATCAAAAAAGTTAAACTTAGTTAAAGAAAAAACTATTCATTAAGGTAAGTACTATTATTTTTATCTAAAAATAAATTAATGTTATTTAATATTAAAATTTATTATTAGGTTATCATTTGATTACAATTATAGAAATTTAAGTAAATCAATATTAGATATATTAAAATTATACCAACCAATAAACAAATTTCTCAAACAATAAGGCATTCACATTAATTAGCTTGTAAACTTGCTGAATTTCTTAATATTAAGCAGTCTATAGATAATTTTTTTAAAACTAACTTTTTATAAATATTTATTAGTATTCATGAAGAAGAAGTTTCAATTAATTTAAATAATCAAATAGTCAATTTTGTGAATAATAAAGAACAAAATAAAAGTACTGAAATTAGTATTTCTATAGCAATAACTGAGGCTTCTTGTAAAATGTAATATATAGTTATAAAGAAATATAACAAAACTATATCAAACAATTTATTTTAGGAAAGAAGTTTACAACTAAATAGAATTAATTATTCACATTCATTTGAAAAAATTTCTATTTTATATAATGGTAGCAGTAGTAAGTTATTAATAAATTTAAATTAAAAAATATTTTTTTATTAATTTAATAGTTTTTAAATATAGTTAATTCTGAATTTCAATATAGATCAAAAAACAATTTGGATTTTGAAATTTTATTGCAACAATGACAAAGACATAAAGCTTATACTTTAAAGCCACTTGAATAAAAGTTTAAATTAGTCAAAACATCTTTTGCAAAACTTGATAATATAACAATTCATTTGAATAAGGCTAGCCATATTGTTACATATTTTACTAGAAATGAAAATTCTGAACAAAAATTAATTAAACAATGTAAAAAGTGATAGAAAAAAATTGTAAAAAAAATATTAAATAGTTTAACTCAAATTCATATTAAAGAATTGGCATAATTTAAAAATTGTAAGTTAAGTAAAAAGCAAAAATCTTTTGTTCAAAGTACATATTTTTATTAATTAATTATTTTTTTATTTATAAATTTAACTAATATTATTTTTTATTTATAAATTTAACTAATATATTAAATTTATTCTTAAAGTTCCAAATATTGAAATACAAATATTTCAGAAGATTTTTTATTAGTTAAATATAACTATATTTTCATAATATATAATAATCAAATGTGTATAAAAAAAGTTATTGTTATTTATTTTGAAGCTTATAGTCAGCATTGCTATATTGAAAATGCAATAACAAATTTAGGTGATATATCTTATATTTTTTTGCATGTTTATATGCCAATTCATCAAGATTTATTTAATAATACTGTTATAGAACGAATTTTATTATTATATTTTAGTATAGTTTCATGAATGTATATTTTATTATTTATTAGCATTATTA